AGGAGGAGGTGGAGGAGGAGGAGGGGACGAAGAAGAAGAAGAAGATTGGCAACAGAAGTTAGCTCAGGTACCAATCTTTAAAAAAAAAAAAAAAGAACAGGAACAAGACAAGGATGCCCACTTTTGCCATTCTTATTTAACACCGTATTGGAAGTCCCAGCTAGAACAATCAGGCAAGAAAAAGAAATAAAAGGGATCCAAATGGGAAAGGAAGAAGTTAAACTGTCACTATTTGCAGATGACACGATTTTATATATGAAAAACCCTAAAGAATCCACCAAAAAGGAATTATAAATAATAAATTAATACAGTAAAGTTGCAGGGTACAAAATCGACATACAAAATCAGTTACATTTCTATACACTAACAACGAAATAGCAGAAAGAGAAATTAGGAATACGATCCCATTTACAAAAGCAAAAAATAAAATAAAATAAAATACCTAGGAATAAATTACACCAAAGAGGTGAAAGATCTGTACATTGAAAACCATAAGAAATCAAAGACACAGAAATGGAAAGATATTCTGTGCTCATGGATTGGAAGAATTAACATAGTTAAAATGTTCATACTACCGAGAGCAATCTACAGATTCAAAGTAATCCCTATCAAAGTCCCAATGACATTTTTCATGGAAATAGAATAAAGAATCCTAAAATTTATACGAGAAAACAAAAGATTCTAAGTAGTCAGAGCAATCCTGAGAAAAAAGAACAAAGCTGGAGGTATCACACCCCCTGATTTCAAAATATCTTACAAAGCTATAGTAATCAAAACAGCATGTACTGGTACAAAAACAGACACACGGATCAATGGAAAGGAATTGAGAGCCCAGAAATAAACCTACACATCTACAGACAGCTAATTTTCCACAAAGGAGCCAAGAACACACAGTAAAAAGCAGTATGCTCTTTGACATCGGTCTTAGCAGTATTTTTTTCTTTAAAGACTGGCACCTGAGCTAACAGCTGTTGCCAATCTTTTTTTTTTTTTTTTTTTTGCCTTTTCTCCCCAACTCTTCCCAGTACATAGTTGTATATTTTAGTTGTGGGTCCTTCTAGTCGTGGCATGTGGGACGCTGCCTCAGCAATGCCACGTCCGCGCCCAGGATCCAAACAAGTGAAACCCTGGGCCGCGAAAGTGGAGCACGCGAACATAACCACTCGGCCTCGGGGCCAGCACCAGCAGCATCTTTTTTGAATACTATGTCTCACCAGGCAAGGTAAACAAAAGAAAAAATAAAGAAATGGGACTACATAAAACTAAAAATCTTCTGCACAGCAAAGGAAACCATCAACAAAACAAAAAGACAACCTGCCAATTAGGAGAAGATATTTGCAAATCATATATCCGATAAGGGGTTAATATCCAAAATATATAAAGAACTCATATAACTCAGCAATGAAAAGCCAAACAACCCAATTAAAAAATGGGCAGAGGATCTGAATAGACATTTTTCCAAAGAAGATATACAGATGGCCAACAGGCACATGAAAAGATATTCAACATCACTAATTATCAGGGAAATGCAAATCAAAACTACAATGAGATATCACCTCATGCCCAACAGAATGGCTATAATTAACAAGACAAGAAATAACAAGTGTTGAAGAGGATGTGGAGAAAAGGGAATCCTCGTACACCGCTGGTGGGAACGCAAACGGGTGCAGCCACTATGGAAAACAATATGGAGATTCTTCACAATATTAAGAATAGAACAACCACATGACCCAGCTATTCCACTTCTGCGTATTTAGCCGAAGAATAAAAAACCACAAATTTGAAAAGATATTTGCACACCTATATTCACTGCAGCATTATTCACAATACCCAAGACTTGGAAACAACCCAAGTGCCCATCAATGATGAATGGATAAAGATGTGGTATAGATACACGGTGAAATACTAATCCGCCATAAAAAGAAAGATGAAATCTTGCCATTTGCAACAACATGGATGACCTTGAGGGTATTATGCAAATTGAAATGTCAGCCGTCAAATACCCTATGATTTCAGTCATAAGAGGAAGATAAAAACAACAACAACAAACAAACACATAGATACAGAGATTAGATTGGTGGTTACCAGAGGAGAAGGGGGCAGGGAGGAGGGTGAAAGGGGTGATAGGACACATGTGTAAGATGAGGATGGTAATTAGTCTTTGGGTGGTGAACACGATGTGGTCTACACAGAAGCTGAAATATAATAAAGTACACCTGAAATTTATATAATGTTCTAAACCAGAGTTACCTCAATAAAAAATAAATTTAAAAAAAAGATTAAATCCGTAATAAATCTCCCCAACTACATTAATATTTTATTACAATCCTGTAAATAGTATAAATACAATCACAAAGATAAAGTGAAAAATCAAAAAGCTGGTAGCTAATAAGCACATAAGTAATTTTAAAAAGTGCCCTTAAATTACAAAGATTTTGACTACATTATAGGCTCAAATTAAAGACTATAAATAAAAATAATATCTAAGAAATACATTAGTTAAATATATATTGTTCGTTATTCATTACTCATATTTCTACTTTTGATTGGGAGGGGCAAGGGAGAAAGAGAAGTTCAGCATGTGTTAAATGCTACTTACCCAAATATCTCTTCATGCTTTTTTCAAAGTCACTTGACACCTCCTCTATGAGACTCTCAAGGAGTTCTTCTCTGTTTTTTCCTTCCTTCAGAGACTCAGGTATCAGCATTAACATGTGATCCAGCCATTCCTGCTGAATAGGTACTATAGGGCTACTTTCTACACATTGCTTCAAATAAATATAGTTGAACTGAGAACGTAATAAGAAAAAATTAAATGTTCTAAATGGTGTAGCATTTTAAAGTAACTCCTGAGCTCTGTCATCTCAAGACAACGTTTTTTGAGAATAAAAATATTCTGAGAAATAACATTTTCAGAATAAAAACATTTTATCCAAAAGTACAATCTACAAAGAAACCATTTTACATTTTTCTTTGTGATGAGTTCTCACCAAATTAATGTTCTTAGTATACTCCTCATTTTCTCAAGGCAAAATAAGGATCCTTTGTCTAACCTATATTCTTTCATTCAACAAATACTCATTAATTCAACAAATATTCAGACATTGTTCCAAACGCTGAGGATATAGTAGTACACAAAACAGACAAAGCCCCCACTCTCTTGGAGATTATATTCTGGTACAATAGCAGTATGATATAATTTCATAAATTTCCCCACAACAATGAGTAGTCTGACAAAAATAGACATGAACAAATGGAAAGACAACACTTGATCTTGGTAAAGACATTTTAACATCATGAAAATTTCAGTTGTCCAAAAATTAATTTAATGGGGAAGACCAGTAAAAATATTGACATACATTTTTATGGAACTAGACAAGTTGAGCCTAAAGTTCATGTGGAAAAATAAACATGCGAGAACAGCCAAGAAATCACTGAGAAACAAAATCTACACGGTAGGCCTAACCCTAGAAGACATTAAAACTATAAAGTCTCTCTAGAACAGTGTGGTACAGGTGGATGAACAGATAGACTCGTGGAAAAAACCAGAAAGTCCAGAACTAGATTGAGTACACAGGAAAATTTAGCATACGATAAATGCTGAATCTCAAATCACTGGAGCAAAGGCAGAAGGTTTCAATAAACAGTTCTGGGACAACTGGCTAGCCATTTGGAAGAAGATAAATTTAGTCCACACCTTTCACCATTCACAAGAATAAATTCCAAATAGATCAGGAATTTAAATTAAACAATAAAACTATACAAAGACTAGAAAAATGGATAAATTCTTCTATAACCTGAGTATAGGGAAAAACTTTCTATGATTCTAATTTCACATAAAAAAGGGAAAAAATGATAGACAAATTCTGACTACATAAAAATAAAAATGCTTGCATGGCAAAAAAAAGTCACAATTAAAAGGTCAAAAGACAACTGACAACCTGGGAGAAAATATTTGCAACCTATATCTCAAATTGTAAAGAATGCTTAAAACTTTAGGGGATGGACGAAGTTTGAAGACATTGTGCTAAGTTAAATAAACCAATGACAAAAAACAAATAGTATATAACTCCACTTATATGAGGTATGCAGAGTAATCAGCTTCCTAGAAACAGAAAATAGAATGGTAGTTGCCAAGGACTAGGGGGAGAGGGAAATGGGGAGTTGTTGTTTAATGACTATAGAGTTTCAGTTTTGCAAGATGAAAAAGTTCTGGAGATTGGCTGCACAACAGTGTGAAAATACTTAACACTAAACTGTATCCTTAAAAATGGTTAAGAAGGTAAACTTTATGTTATGTGTATCTTACTACAATTTTTAAAATTTAGAGGAAAATAAGACCAAAAACCCAACAGAAAAATGGGCAGAAGATATGAATCAACATTTCACAATAAAAATTTTATTAAAATGGCCCTTAAACATATGAAAAGATATTTAATCTCACTCAAAATTAGAGACAGCAAATTTAAACTATGCTGAGAAATCATTTGTCACCTATCAGACTGACAAAAAATAAAACATATGACCCCCACATTCTGTGGTGAGACTATGGGGAAGCAAGAACTCTCATAAATTGTGAGTAGGAATGCAAATTGGCACAACTCTTTTGGGGAGAAATTTCACAACCTCTAATAAAACTACATATTGACCATATTGACCCAGAAGTCCCACTTTTAGAAATTGAAAATACACCTCTAACAGTATGAAAACACATGTACACAAGGTTATTCATTGCAGCAAAATACTGGAAGCATTTGAGAGTGGCTGAATAAACTATTATATATCCACACATTGGTGTTCTGTGCATCAATAAAAAAGAATGAGGAAGTCAAATCAACACGTTATACAACTTAAACTTACACAATGCTATACATCAATCATATCTCAATAAAGCTGGAAAAAAAAATAAAGAAGATCTCTATAAACTAATACTCAGTGACTTCTAGGATATACTGTTAAGTTAAACAAAATGCAAAAGAACATTTATAGTATGGTGCATTGTGTGTAAGATAAAAGGGAAATAAGAAAATATTTCTATTACTTTATGAAAAATTAAACACTGGGAGGGTAAACTAGAAATTAATGAAATTGGTTATATAAAGGGAGTGGGTTTGAATGGGTAGAAAGTATGCGGGGATGGGAACAGGGTAGAAGGGATGGGAGAGGCTTCTCTGAGTATACCTTTTGGTGGAGTTCTGACTTTTAAACCATGCTATTGTTTCACATGTTCAAAATATAAGCAAAGAAAATCAATAAGGATGAGGGGAAGAAAGAAACTAAAAATGAAAAACAAATAGAAATAAATTAACCTAACTGGATTTTAAATTAATAACATAGCCACACTGAAAGGGGTGTGGAACTAACCAAAGTAACTTTTGAACATAGTATTTTGACTATACACCTTCAAGCAAAGTACAAAAAATTATAGAAAAATATTGAACTATAGAGAGTAGGTTTTTCATGGTGTTATGACTTAGCAATTTTACAACTGCTTATATGTATTCTAGGATTTAACAAAATAAGTATATATTGTGGTTCATAAAAGCCAGATTTCTCATTCTCAGAGAAAGGAGCTACAGATACAGAAAGAGGAAAGACTAGAATGAACCCTGTGATGTTGAATTGGAATAGGAGGCATTAGTATAAACTCACGGTTTCTTAAGATAGATAGGTAGATGACAGAAGGATGGGTGGCCGGGTGGATGGATAGATGGATGGATAGATAGATAGATAGATAGATAGATAGATAGATAGATAGATAGATAGGATTGATAAATAAATTATTTCCTAGCTCTTTCTGTTGAGAGAGCCAAGAAATAATTACATCCAGTGTCAAGGAACACACATAACGCTCATATCATGGTTTTTAAACACCATACTCTACTAAAAAGAGCCAAGAATCCTTGGAGAAATGACTGATTTCAGGGTTAGAACAGGAAAAGTATAGGATAAGCCTAGAACATCTTATTGTGTTAGAACATCAGAGCTCAAAGAATAAGCAAAAAAGGGATAAGTAAAAAAGAACTCAAGAGTCAACCAGAAAGGCTCCCACTGGCAAATCTGGGACAATTAAACATAAAAATCAACAATAATTATAACACATTATAACTCAATGGCTAAAATAAGACTCCATAGCCCATACTGATATAAATACATACATACATACATAGAACGGATGAAGTTCTTCCATACTACAAAATTCCAAGTAAAAAATGTACAAGGAATGATGGAAAAATTACTATTTGGCAACCACCATAGTAATTCTTGTTTTAAGCAAGATGTTAACATTACGGGAATAGTTAAAACATATAGGGTAATTCTTTGTACTCTTTTTATGTTTTTTTCTGTAAGTCTGGAATTAACTCAAAATAAAAAGTTTTTTTAAAAAACAAATGGCCTAATTGGACATTTTTTCTTTTGTCTCTTACTTAAATTTTTTTTTTCAATTAGTTGCTTCCTCCAAAATTCTTCCAGAGGGTCATTTTCTATGTCAACTCCATTAATGTGCTGCTCAATCTTAAAAGTCCTGTGATGGTTCCCAATTCTTCACTGTATCAATGGACTGACATCTGTCTAGTAATGAACTTGATCTCCTCCACCCTCTTTCTCTTCCCTACCTCCTTAGGTGATCTCATCTAGTCCCATGACTATAAATATCATTTATATATGTCAATAGGTCCTAAATCTATTTCTCTAAAACTGAGCTCTTCCTGAACTCTCTAGAACAGCCAAACGAGACCTCTCCATCTCCCCTGCTCCTAGTCTGTTCCTTCTTCAGTCTTAGCTATCTCAATAAACAGCACCAATTACCCTGTAAAATCAGGCTAAAACCCTAGAGTCATCCTTGGTTCCTCCACATCCAATATGTCAGCAAGTCCTATCATTTCTACATCCAGAATACATCCTAAATCTATCAATTTCTTCTAGCTTTATTACTATCACTCTAGTCTAAACTACAATCATCTCTCACCTAGATTGCTGTCTTCTACAACTAACTGGCTCTTCCTGCTTTTTACTCTTGCCCTGGCCACAATCCACTCTCTAAAGTGTCAACGTGGTTTTTCTCATGTCACTGTCAAGTGGTTTTTTATCATTAAATCATAAATCAAATTATAATACTCCCATGAGTAGAATCTTCCAATGACTTCCCACTGCACTTTGAAAAAAATCCAAACTTCTTACCGTAGCCTACAAGGCCCTCACAATCTGTCCCCTGACTCCCCCTTCAGTTCACTTTATACCCTCCCATGAGCTAAGTCAGTATGCTCAAGTTAGGCTGGTCTTCTTTCAGTTCCTGGAATATAACAAATTTTTTTCTCTTTCGGGGATTTTAAACTTAGCTGTTATTTTTGTTGGGAAATTCTCAACCCCACATCTTCTCACTGCTGGTTCCTTCCTATTATTCAGGTCTCAAAATATTACCACCTCAGGGATGCCGTCTCCAATCACCCATTATATGCGGCCTCACTCCCTCACCAGTCCCTCTCTATCAAAATACCTGTAATTCCTTCATAGTACTTATCACAATTATTTTAGTTATTTATTTGTTTACTTGATTACTGTATGTCTTCCCCTTTAGAGTTTAAGCTCCATAAGGGCAAAAACTATGTTCATCTCGTTCATCAATCTTCAGTATCTAGCACAGGATGAATAAATCAACATTTATTAAGTATCTCATGAATAAATGAATTCATTACGGACAAGGAAGATATTTTCTCAATCCCCTAAATCTACAGCACTTCTATAAAGTAGGTCAGGGTCAAGCTCTGAAATACATAAAAAACTAAGCATGAATAAAATTATTACATGACTACATAGTGACAGGAAGTTTGAAATTCATTATTCTAATTACGCATCCTTAACTTACACCTTTTGTGTTCTAACTCTTTCATCTCCTAAAATAAAAATATATGTTATATGTCAATTATATCTATCTATCTAACTATCTATCTATCTATCTATCTATCTATCTATCTATCTATCTATATTTGACCCTTAGAATTGAAGTATGTATTCTTCGTTTAGCAAAAAGATATCCATCTATCTATCTATCTATCTATCTATCTATATTTGACCCTTAGAATTGAAGTATGTATTCTTCGTTTAGCAAAAAGATATCCATCTATTCTGGGTGAAACTATGTGCTTTCAAAGTCTTTTTTGAAAACTTCCTATTTTATGCCCTCACTGTAGTCTCTTCATACTTCTATCACAACATCTGTTATATTGTACTAAACTGAAGTGTTTCTATTTATTCATTCATCAAGCATTTATTGAGTATCCACTACTGGTACTCAACACCATAGCTGCTAAAGATACAGAGATGATTAGGAAGCAATTCCTAGCATCAAGACTAGGAAACAGACCACTTTAATACATAAAAAGATCAACAGAGGGGCCAGCCCCATGGCGGAGTGGTTGGGTCTGGCATGCTCTGCTTTGGTGGTTCGGGTTCATTGGTTCAGATCTCAGAGGCAGACCTACACCACTTGTCAAACCACGCTGTGGTGCCAACCCACATACAAAATAGAGGAAAATTAGCACAGATGTTAGCTCAGGGCTAATCTTCCTCAAGAAAAAAAAAAAGAGGAAGATTGGCAACAGATGTTAGCTCGGAGCAAATCTTTCTCACCAAAAAACAAAAAAAGAGGATCAACAGAATACCTAAAACAATGTGCTAAGTAAAATAATAAAAATGAACAGAAATTCTTGGAGCAAAAAGGAAGTCATATATCTCAACCCATAGGAAAAGGGTAAGTCTTCCTGGGGGTGATGACTGAGCTGAATCAGAGACAGCCAGGTACAAGGAAGCATAGAGGGTGAGGACATATGCCAGGCAAAAGCAGCGAGGTGAGAAATGTCATATATTCTCAAAGATTAATAAGCAAGTCTGTGTTGGTGAAGCACAAAGTATGATACAGAGCATGGTGAGAGGAGAATTTGGAGAATAGGCAGGGGTCATATTACAGAAAGCCTTGCATGCCACATTGAGCTTTAATTCTATAGGTTATGGGAAGCCACTGATGGCTACTGTAGTCAAGGGAAGAGATGAAGGCCTGATCTCAGGCTAAGACAAGAAGAGAACTGATTGGAGAAATATTCACAGCACTTGGGGACCAACTGCATGGCAGATGGGTAGTTAGGGAGGGAGAAAAAGAAGTCAAGACTCAGATGTTTTAAGCATGAGTGACTGGATAGATGGTGATAACAACAACTAGAATAGAGAATAAAGAGGAAGAGGAGTCTTATGAAGGAAGCTAATGAGTTCTTTTTTTTGACAAATTGAATTTGACATATTTATGCATAAAAATCTCTGGGAGTCATCAATTTATGGAAGGTAGTTGAAATCAGAAAAGGAGAGAACAATCCAGGGAGATTCAAGGAAAGGCAGGCCACAGTCAGGCAGGGAAGAGAAATCCATGAAGATGACAGAGGAATAATTGTTAGAAGACCAGAAGAATAAATATAAGGGAATAAAAAGGAAATGAATGGTCAGCAATGCCAAAAACCAGCTAGAATTGTCACTATTTTTTATTTTAGCCATTCTAATGGGTCTGTAGTAATAAGTCATCATGGTTTTAATTTGCATTTCCCTAAAGACTAATGATGTTGAAATCTTTCATATGCTTATTTGCCATCCATCTGTCCTCTGGTAAAATGTCTATTCATGTCTTTTATCCATTTTATATTTGGATTGCTTGTCTTTATTGTTTACTGTAGAGTGTTGAGAGTTCTTCATATATCCTACATACAAGTCCTTTGGTGGATATGTGATTTGTGAATATTTCCTTCCAGTGTGTAGCTTCTCTTTTCATTTTCTTAGGATCTTTCACTGAGCAATAGTTTCTAATTTTGATGAAATAATTTATTGGGTTTTTTTTCTTTTAAGGATTGTGCCTTTTGGTGGCATGTCTAAGAACTCTTTGTCTAGCCCTTGGTTTTCTTCTAAAATTTTTATAGCTTTACATTTCTCCTGTGTTTTCTTCTAAAAGTTTTTTAATAATTTTATATTTTACATTTAAATCTATGATAAATTTTTAGCTAATTTTTGTACAAGGTGCAAGGATTAGTCTGAAGTTTGGGGGTTTTTTGTTGTTGTTGATTTGTTTTGTTTTTTTATGGATGTCCAATTGCTCTACCTCATTTGTTGAAAAGACTAGCCTTCCTCCATTGAATTGATTTTTGCATCTTTGTCAAAAACCAATTGGGTGTACTTGTGTGGGTCTATTTCTGGGTCATCTATTCCGTTCCACTGATCCATGTGTCTAATTACTTAATACTAAAAAGGTTTTTAAAAAGTCAACTGGAAGTCTATTGAGAGAAGCAATGAAAAAATATCCTTTAGATTTGGAAATTAGTGGTCACTGGTGACATTAATGACAAAGTGGTGAACAGGTATACTGGGAGCAAAAAAGAAGTCATGTATCCAAACCCACAGGAATAGGGTAAGGCTTCCCAGAAGCCAGAATGCCAAAAGCAATGGGTTCAGGAGTGAATGACTGTTTTCATGCTCAGCTACCTATTTTTATTTATTTTTTATTTTTTTAGGAAGATTAGCCCTGAGCTAACATCTGCTGCCAATCCTCCTCTTTTTGCTGAGGAAGCCTGGCCCTGAGCTAACATCCACGCCCATTTTCCTCTACTTTATATGTGGGACACCTGCCACAGCATGGCTTGCTGAGTGGTGCCATGTCTGCACCCAGGATCCGAACCAGCGAACCCCAGGCCACCCGAAGTGGAATGTGCGAACTTAACCGCTGCGCCGCCGGCTGGCCCCTCAGCTACCTATTTTTAGATTGCAAGACACTAGAAGGCAAGAACTGTGGAGGAAGAGTGAGGATGCTAAACACATACACACAAACATGTCTTGCAATTCACCAGTCACATAAAATATTTACAAATATTTTAGGATTATTTTGTATCAATTCTTACACCTAGTAAAGAGGCAAATTCACAGCCAAAGTTTCCAGAAAAGTTGGGAGGCAGAGAGAGGAGAAAGAGTAGTTTAAAAAAACAAAAAACTTGGAGAACCTAAAATGAGGTTCTTCCAAAGATCCTCAGTCCATAGGGAGGCATCCTCAGCCCTCTATCCCCAAAGGAAACTTTAAGGAACTTGGAAACCCTGTGCCCCCATCTGAGAACATGCTACATAAATTCCTCTTTTAAGTAATCAGCTTCACAAGTTTCCATGTCCTTTGCTGTTAAGTTTTCATCTTTCCACCAATCATATGACAACAGTCCCATGTTGTCACCCATGCAGTCTTTTTTCTTTTTAAAGCATCTAGCATGTGGCTAGCACACAATCGATTCTCAATAAGTAATTATCATTATATCAATATTAGGACAATAAAAAGGGAGATGCATTTCCTTTATAACTGCCACTTTGAACATTTTTTTCCATTTGTTAGGAGTAAGAACTAAAATATTTATAACTAATCCTCAAATAAGGAATGGTAACAAAAATATAACTCTTAAAACCCATATTGTCATCCATGACATGCTTGTTCCTTTGGGCAGAGAAAATAAAAACCTCAGTTTTTAAATGTCATTCCTTTCTAGAATGAGACTTAGCAGGTATTCTTAGAAGAACCTACTTTGTAATAATTTCTTTGAAATTTCAAAACAAGAAATATAAAAAATTGAACTCACTCCTTTCTTTTTAATTTCACTGGTCATCTGTCAAAAGCAAACAAATGAGAAATGATTAAATGGAAATTTTTAAGTAATTTAAATTGTTTTAATTAAAAATATAAAAAATATATGTAAATATATGTAAAAATATAAAATATATGTATTATTCTTTTTAAAATAAGAATTATATTGAGATTGACTCAAAATTATTAAGAATTGAAATATCATAAGGATAAAGTTTTTAAAGAGAAAATATAAACTTACAGTTGGAGGATAATCTGGCTCTGGTGATGAAGGTATTCTTTTACTCAGTGTTCTGTCTATATTTCTTTTGGCTCCATCAATTCTGAAATTTATAGTTATAAAAATGTATGACTCTTGAATATAACATTAGGATATATTATTAAAACATTATAATTTGAACACTTTTTCAACTATACTTAAAGAAGAGATATTCAAGAATTCTTTCTTTCTGAATTTTCTGAGAAACAAATCCCAATAGCCATTATCAAGGAGACCTTAATTTTCAAGTTATTCATGTGTAATTTAAAAGGATGAGACTAAAAATAAAAATCAAATTTTGTCAATTATAACTTGACAATTTTAAAATTAATCCTGACATATAGTGGGCCATTCTATGTATTCTCTCTGTTCAAATGCCACCTTATCAGAAAAGCCTTCCCTTACCACTTATATTAAGCAGCACTTCCTTCACTATCCATCCCTTTTACCTTCACTTAGCCTGTTTCATAGCATTTACCACCATTTGATATATTACATGTTGTAGACTGCTTTATTCATTACCTTATCCCCAATGCCCAGAACAGTACCTAGCACATAGTAGGGGCTCAATAAACAGTTCTGAATGTAGGAATTTATCATCCATAAAATATAATTTCCTCTTTAAGTAAAGTTATACCATCACATAATCCATTCATCTGTCACCAAATATTTATTGAATGCTTATATTATGCAAGATACTCGGTTAGGTTTTATTAAAATACAGCAGCAACAAATCTCAAGGAATTTATAAACTAAAAGAGTGAGAAGATAAAAAACAGAGTGCCATATGAAAGGTATGGATCCTGATGGTTCAGAGGAGAGACAAGTTCACTCCCACCTGGAGGTATCTATGAAGGCTGTGTGAAAAAGTTAGCATTTGCAATGAGCTTTAAATGAAGAAGAGAATTTCAGGTTGAGATGTGGTTTTCCTGGGTAGATGGATCTGAAAAAATAAAGACCCTGGGAAACAAGAAGGCAAGGGAACGATCAAAGGAAAAGACAAGGAGTAGGGAGTTGTCCAGTTTCCCAGAGTCTACGGGACCAGATGGAGATAAGTTTGGAGAAGTGGACTGGAATACCCAGCTAAGAGCCTCAAATAGCAAGCTTTTTTATTCAATAGACAATGGGGAGTGACTGAGAGTTTCTGAGCACAGGAACATTTTTAGGAAGACAAATCTACAAGTTGGTAAAGGCTAAATACACTGGAAGAAATGACCAAAGGAGAGAGTACCTAAGAAAAAGAAAAGAGACCTGAGAAAGAAGATTGGATGATGCAAAGCATGACAGGAATGAAGAAAAGTTGAAGGAGGCAAAGGAGATTTGGTCAGAGAGGTAAGAGGAGAAGCAAAAGAAATTTCAGGGAAAAGATGGCCACTGGAATAATAAAAGCATAGACTGGTACTCTCCATAAAGTTAATGACCATGTCTGTTTTGCACACTGCTCTATCCACACTATATAGATAGCATCCATCAAGGTCAATAAATATCTGTGGAATGAATGATCAGAATAGTGGATTTGGAAAAAAACTCACATGTCTAGTTCAGTACCTTAATTGATACATGAATACTCTCAAAAATATCAAGTTGTACCCTGGGATAGGTGAGGGTGAGGGGGGATGGCATTCATCATTTTCTGAGGTATCCCAATTTACTGTCAGCTAATTCATATCCTTAGAAACAAATTCCTTATACTGAGTTGTATCCTTGTAACTTCCATTCCCTGGAGCTATATACAAAAAGTCATATTCCTCTTCTATGTTACCCTTCCAAAACTTAATGATACCTATCCAGTTCCTTCAACTATTCCCCTCAATAAGTTAGCATTTATGATGACCTTATTATGTTCTAGGCATTGGCTTAAGAATTTTATATGCATGGACCTCATTTAACTCTCACAAAAATCCTAAGAGGTAAGCACTATTCTTATCTCCATCTTATAGATATAGGAAGGTGAAGATAAGTAAAGTTACTTGACTTGCCAAATTCACATGGCTAATAAGCTGCAGAGATGGGATACGAATTCATGCCTGTCTGATGCCAGAGTCTATACTCTCACTCATTAAGTGAATTAGCTTCTTTCAAATGAAGTAGTTTTAAAATTCGTCACTCTTCTTTCTAGCTACTATGGTTTATCGATGTCCCTCTTAAAGTGTGATCCCAGAATTCCAGAGTTGTTTGACCAGTGCAGAGTGAAAATTTTCTCTCCCCTATTCTAGACATTCTACATTTATTAAAGCAGCGTAAAACTGAATTCGCTTTGTTTGAGTAGCAACATTTTCCTGCTGAATCTTTCTGAGCCCAACTAAATTAAAATTCCAAAGAGTTTTTCACATAAAGTAAAAACTGTGCCTGGAATATCCTCCTTCCTCTCTTTTTTTTTGTTAATCATCAAGGCCCAGGCCAGACTTCCCTTCACGCGTCATTATCTCCATCAACAACCCAGCTCTCAGTGATGGATACTTTCAAGGAATTTGCCTTATACTTTGGTATGCTAGTTGGCACCAGTTGGCTTGCACTGCAGTTATCCCAATATAAATATGCCTGACTTTCTTGATCTCTTTTTATATAAATGCCACCCTTGAATACAGCAACAATTTTCTGGAGCATGGCTATAAATAAAAAGAACCGAGAAGAACATAAGAGTGAGCCTTTTCGCACTCTGTTTTTGCTTTGCATGTTAAATATCAAGAATAAATAAACACACAAAAACTAAATAATTTCAAAGGACTGTGTGAGAGGCTATGTGCCATAAGAAGAGAAAGGCTAGTTTGAATCAAGAGGGAGGTAGTGACCACGGAAGAAGTGGCTCATTCCTGGGACTCTGGAAAGCTACACAATGATTTTGGCTCAGCCGAGTGTTCCCAGGAACTGATTCCAGGAGGAGATCCAATTCTGCCCACGACTCCTTACATCCTACCTTACCCCTGGAAGTCTCACTATCCACAGACCTCACTCTGCCTTGGAAACAGGCAAGTCCACACTCCTATTGCCTAACATGTAGAGGTAGCAAGGGACAGAGAATCACAAAATCCATGGCCACCCAGAAAAACGTGTTTCTGGTATAAAAACCTTTATTTCCAAAGGCATTTTTCTCAAACAAAACATATGACAATTCTAATCTCAGTATTAATACAGCACTCTGCTTCAGGTAATTTTGAGGCAGTATTTTTTATTAAGCACCCAAATGAGAGAGGTACTACTTGCAGATCTGTATGAAACACAATAAGAGATAAAGTTCCTCCTTAAAAAGATTCTTTCATTCGCTCATTCACTCACCAAGAATAACATGCCAGAATGTGTTTTGTGTTGAGATCTCTGCCCTTAAGCATGTTAAAGTAGAAAAGAACGACAACTAAGAAAATAAATGACAACACATTGTGTTACAACATGCTCTGTTCTCTCTGCTTAAGACATCCTGCTCTTCTGCTCTTCCTTCTGCCTCCTCTCAATTTTTTTTCTCTCTCCCTAGGTGATTTCAACTATTCCCCATAGCTTTAAAAATCATCTACATTCTGCTGACCCCTAAATTTGTATCTTTAGCCTAGACGTCTTCTCTTATAAGTCCAACTGCCTACTTAACATATTTCCCCTTAAATGTCACATAGCCACCTCAACTCCGAAAGAGAATTACTGCCTTTTATTCCTCTCATCTCCTGGACTTCCAATTCTCTATAAATACAGACACTGTCATCCACCTGGTTACCAAAGCCAATCCAACAGAAAGTCCCATCGACTCTGGATCCAAAACACATCCCTTTAAATCTATTTCTCTCCTCCTCCACTGTCTCCAGTCTGTCTCCAACCACCGATGCTACTTCCAAAGCATCCTGCCTGGTCTCCTTGCTTCCTTCTATTCTTGTCCTCTTCCCCTCCTCCTCAGTCTATTTCTAATAGCCAGAGTGATGGTTTTTAAACCTAAGTTGGATTTCACGTCATTTCCCAGTTTAAAACATTCAGTGGCTTCCATTGCACTTAAAATAGAATCTGAATTCCTTATCATGGCCTACAAAGCCTTTCACAATCCCCCCACCTTTCTCTCCACCTTCGCCTGATACCACTCTTCCCCAGGCTCCTGATACTCCAGTGACATGGGCCTTCGTCAATTCCTAGAGCACACTAAAAGCATTCAGATTTGAAAGCTTTCATGCTTGCTATTTTCTTTGCTAGAGTGCTGCTCCCATGTTTATTTAAGCGATGTGCTTCTTATTCTTTAGATCTCTACTTAAACATCAACTCCACAGGCCTTTCCTGCAATGTTCCTAGGAACATCTTCCCTGTCACTCTCTATCCCACTATCTTATTTCTTCATAGTACTCATCATCATTTAAAAGGTTAACATACTCTTTTTTTTTTTAAACATGTTTACTGTCTGTCTCCTCCCACTAGAATATAAGCTTTTTTTTTAATATTGGCACCTGAGCTAACATCTGTTGCCAATCTTTTCTGCTTCTTCTTCTCCCCAAAGCCCCCCAGTACATAGTTGTACATTCTAGTTGTAGGTCCTTCTAGTTCTGCTATGTGGGACACCACTTCAGCGTGGCTTGATGAGCGGTGCTAGGTCCTAGCTCAGGATCTGAACCAGTGAAACCTGAGCCCCAAAGCTGAGTGCCCTAACTTAACCACTGGGCCACCGGCCGGCCCAACATAAGCTTCTTAAAGACACAGTGCTTTCTATTGTGTTCTCTATGGTCTCCCCAGTAACACGTGTCTGTGTAACAGTAGGTACTTAATATCTGATAAATTGACTGATGTGAGAGAAATATGTAGAAAGAGTTAAAGCTGCAGGAAGGAGATTAGGAGAAGGCTTTTCAGAAGAAGTGATCCATAAACTAAGCATGGGAGAACTAGTATAGATATGCAGGCAGACAAATATTTTTCAGTGAAGGAAATTGCAGAGAGCAATTGTGAAATTTATTTTTCACTAAACTGTGAAAAATATATTCACAGAACTGCAAGTAGTTCAACATGGCAATGTGAGATAAGGGAAGGTTTTGGAGTAAGAACAATATGTAACTCCTAGGGAACTCCCTTCTCTATTCTCTAAGTCTACTGAAACATTGAGTAGAGTCTTAGAAATGGAGAGGATAAAGATCTCCAATAATACATATAATGACATTAGTTAACATATCTTATAAATTTGGTTTTAAGTATGATTAGATGATTGACAGACTAATAAAAATATAAATCTAAAAAAGTTATATGATTGGGGCCAGCCCCAAGGCTGAAGTGGCTAAGGTTCCACACTCTCCACTTCGGTGATTTGGGTTTGCAGATTCAGATTCCGGGTGCAGATCTACTCCACTCCTCCACCATGCTGTGAAGGCATCCCAAGTATAAAGTAGACGAAGACTGGCACAGATGTTAGCTCAGGGCTAATCTTCCTCAAGCAAAAAAAGAGGAGAATTGGCAACGAATGTTAGCTCAGGCAAATCTTCCTCACAAGAAAAAAAAGAGGGGACCAGCCCCATTGCCAAGTGGTTAAGTTCGCTTGCTCCGCTTTGGCGGTGCAGGGTTTTGCTGGTTTGGATCCTGGGCATGGACATGGCACTGTTTGTCAGCCCATGCTGAGGTGGCGTCCCACATGCCACAACTGGAAGGACCCACAACTAAACAAATAAAACTATGTACTGGGGGGCTCTGGGGAGAAAAAGGAAAAATTAAAAAGAAATCTAAAAAAAAAAAGAAAAAATGTTATATGATTAACAGACCCATTTATTTGTAAGTAAAGTAAAATTAGCACAAATTTAAATTATTAAACTAGCAACAATATGATCATCAACAATGGAACAGACAGTAAAACACAGTCTGTTGTAAAAATATGTATAAGTAAGGCAGACCAAGAAGGGAAAGAGAATGCAGAAAGAGAAGCAGAAATCCACCATAGAGAAATTCCCCATTTTATAATTCAATGCTAGGTTGGCATCTTACAGATGAGATCAATGTCTTTTTCTCCTTATTTATGTCCAGAGCCTACCCACGTCAACTACCTAGGAAATTCTCAGTAATTGCCGAATTGAACCAAACCATCCTTATCACAGCTTTTGGAACTGGTACCTAAATTAGCTTTAATTTCCATCAAATTGAAGGGGGGAAGGGCAAGATGTTGGACTATATTTTCTTTTGTATAGAAAAAATTTTAAGTCCAAGAGTTTCACGATATGTTATTAAGAATTTGTTCAAATGCAATGCTGTTTGTGGAGGCCCAATTACTTGGTTTTACTTTCAGGGACCAGTATGGTTATAACACATTGAGAGGAGGAATAGTGTGGTGCTTAAAGATGTGAACTCTAGGGTCTGTCCCCACGGCCAAGTGGTTAAGTTCGCGTGCTCCACTTCAGAGGCCCAGGGTTTTGCAGGTCCAGATCCTGGAGGCAGACATGGCACCACTCATCAGGCCACGCTGAGGTGGCATCCCACATGCCACAACCAGAAGGACCTACAACTAGAATAAGCAACTATGTACTGGGGGACTTTGGGGAGAAAAAGCAGAAAAAAAAAACAAAAAAAAGAAGATTGACAACAGATGTTAGCTCAAGGCCCAATCTTTAAAAAAACACAAGAGGGGCCGGCCTGATAGTGCAGTGGTTAAGTTCGCATGTTCCGCTTCAGCAGCCCAGGGTCCGTTAGTTCGGATCCTGGGTGTGGACATGGCACCGCTCATCAAGCCATGCTGAGGCAGGCATCCCACATATAAAGTAGAGGAAGACAGGCACCGATTTTAGCTCAGGGCCAGTCTTCCTCAGCAAAAAGAGGAGGATTGGCAGTAGATGTTAGCTCAGGGCTGATCTTCCTCCAAAAAAAAAAGATATGGGGGCTGGCCCCGTGGCCGAGTGGTTAAGTTCGCGCGCTCCGCTGCAGGCGGCCCAGTGTTTCGTTAGTTCAGATCCTGGGTGTGGACATGGCACCACTCATCAAGCCACGCTGAGGCAGGCATCCCACATATAAAGTAGAGGAAGACAGGCACCGATTTTAGCTCAGGGCCAGTCTTCCTCAGCAAAAAGAGGAGGATTGGCAGTAGATGTTAGCTCAGGGCTGATCTTCCTCCAAAAAAAAAAGATATGAACTCTAGAACTAGACTGTCAGGGTCTAAACCCCAGCTATGTACCTTGGGCAAGTTACTTAACTTCTCTGCACCTCAATTTACTCATCTGTAAAATAGAGAAAACAATAGTTCCCATCTTATAGTGTTGTTGTGAGAAGTACAGGTGAAGCGATAAAAACAATGCTTAGAGTAAGCACTGATTAGCATAAGCACTATGTAACATTCACAGCCATTATGATTACTTTTTCAGTTGTGTCCCTAATTGAACTTGAAAGCGGTATTTTGCCCTGAACACTAATCATTTCACTTGAATTCCAAATGAGAATTATTTACTACTATGCTACTTACACTAACTGATTAATTGTCTTCTGCTGCTCCTTGGATCTTCTGTAATTCAGCAGTTTACTTTGTGTTGGTGTGTCAACACCTATGTCTTCAGGGGGACGGACAATGGGAGGTAACTTCAAGTTCAGAGCCTCCTTTTCTGCTGCAATAGCAGCTTTGTTTGAATCCGACATCTTGGTCCCCTGAAGATTAAAATATACTCTGAGGAGAAAAAGTCCTTAAAGTCATTATTGGAAAAGCTGGCATCGATATATACATAACATCTCTTACATATCAATGCCAAAAATTCTAGGCCTTTTTAGGTTTTCCTCTCAAGTATGGTATTAGTCTAAAGAATGGCAGTTGAGATGAGTGGGGAGGATTCCATCAGAGCTCTACCACCTACTTGCTATGAAGAAATGAAGCCAGTCACCTCCTGATTAGGGCTTCAGTTTCCTCATGGATGAAACTAAGAAACGGGATTCGATGCTTTCTAAATAGCCTTACAAATTCTGGGTTCAAATTTTTCCCTAAAATGCAAATCACAACAACAAAATCCAGTTGTTGAGGCACAATCCCTCTCCCAAAAAAGGTGATATTTAACATCATTAATATTTTTAAACATCAGTATCATATCTTAGTCTTACCACCTTCCTAGAAAGTGATACTACGATGAAGCAAAAATAGGCATTCTTAACGCATAGGAAATCTCAAATGTCATGTAAATGCTGAACAATCAGCTGTGATACCAACCGCATTTGTCGTGGATGCCCACAGAATTTGGAGATTCCTGGCCTGAAAAAAGAGTATTTCCGCTGGCACCGAAGTCACCATCTCCTGCCCTGGGAGAGGGGTGAAGAGAAAAGCTGAGGACAAGGAAGTACCTGTGTGGCTGTTTTTCACCTCTTCCCGGCTGCACAGATAAGAGGAAAACGTTCAATGAGCTGCTTCTCTGGCGAAAGGAAGACAGAAAACGAAGTGAAACCTCAGAAACCCCAGCGGCTCCCGGCCGAGCCTGGCGGTCGCCTGTAGCGAAGAAACAAAGTTGTTGCCATGGGAACGGTCGCGATCGCAGCTGGAGAGACCGCGTGAAGGTTGCCTGGAGAGGCAGTTGCTGAGCTGCGACAGATTAGGATTACCTGTCAACAATAATTCATTGCTCAAGTAAGTGGAGGGTGGGTAAATGAGATTTTGTTTACCTAACTGCCTATCCTCGGAAGGGGTCCACGGAATCAGAATCTTCAAATTGTGGGAAACCGCAAGACCGGAAATTTGGATGTGTTGGAAAATAGATTTACGTAAACACTCGCTTTCAAAGGAGGATCAAGTCTTCAAGCGTCCCCATAGTACTTCCCTGTAAATATTGTAACTAATCAACAATCTAATTTATTTTGTTTCTACGTGTGGTGTTTGTTTATAGAGCACTTTTCCTTTAGCAATCCCTTGGCAAAAAAGGTTTAAGGTGTGTAAATTTTGTGAGTATTCTTGGAAAGAGAAACGTGAAACTTTGCTATTTGAGGCTGCACAATGGATACTCCGTCTAAATGATAATAGCCTATACAAATACTATGTGCATAAATGAAATTGGAGGATGAATAAATCCTGGTGGTGTATTGATGGCATATTCATTTAACAAATATTTGAGCCTCTTGTATGTGCCAGTCACCATGTAAAAAAATTTTTTTTAATGAGAGTACAGCCCAGACTATTGTGTCTGGCACACAGTAGGTCCTCCAAAAACATCATTTGACTGAATGAACAAATTAAACATCATCATAGCTTTCAAATCCAAATGCTCTTTCTGTAGAAAACAAAATACCTGCATAAGTATGTAATGGTTTTTTGATATGTCAATTTGGTTAGGCTAAACTACAAGGACTGAAGGGAGGACAGCAGTCCTTTACATCATACACACACCTTCTACCAGTTATTCAATCGAACACTAATCTAGTGCTGCTGTGAAGAGATTTTGCAAATGTAATTTAAGTCTCTAGTAAACTACTGTTAATCTAGGGAGATTATCTGGGTGGGCCTGGCTCAATCAGTGAAAGTCCTTTTAAAAAGAAGGTTTAGACATGCCCTGAGCCCCAGTTCAGCTAGGTCTACAATTGCTGTCCCCTTTCTGGATCTTCTGTTCCTGACAGCCTGTCCTACAGACCTTGGACTTGCTTAACCAGCCCCCACCACTGCCTAAGCCAATTCCCTGTAATGAATCCACATATATATACAAACATACATATGATATATAGGGAATATATATAACCTACTATTTCTGCTTCCCTCATTAAACCCTGACTAATATAATGTTATCTTTTGTGGGTGTGAGTGAGGAAGATTTGCCCTGAGCTAACATCTGTTGCCAATCCTCCTCTTTTTTTGCTTGAGGAAGCTTAGCCCTGAGCTAACATCTGTGCCAATCTTCCTCTGCTTTGTACATAGGATGCCTCTACAGCATGGCTGATGAGTGCAGTAGGTCCACACCCAGGATCCAAACCTGCAAACCCTGGGGCCACCAAAGCAGAGTGTGTGGAACTTTAACCACTTGGCCCCAGGGCTGGCCCCAATGTGTATCTTTTTTTAACAGGTTTATGTAGGTATGATTTACATACTGTAAAATTCACCATTTTAAAGTATACAATTCAACAATTTTTTTCATAAATTTATAGAGTTGTGCAACGATTACCAAGATCCAGTTCTAAAACATTTCCATCACTGCCAAATGTTCCCTTGGGCTCATATGGAGTCAATCCCCACTCCCACCTCCAGCCCCTGGGAACCACTGCTTTGCTTTTGGTCCCTGTAGGTTTGCAATCTCATATAAATTGAATCATATATTATGTAGTCTTTTTTGTTTGGCTTCTTTCACTTAATAATAACGTGTTTGAGATTCATCCATGTGTAGCATGCAACAGAAGTTCATGCCTTTTTATTGCTGCACAGTCTTCCATTATATGGATATATCACATTTGGTTTATGCATTCACTAATTGATGGACATTTGGATTGCTTCCAGTTTGGGGCTATTATGAATAATCCTGCCATGAACATTCCTGTACTAGTCTTTGGATGAACATACATTTTCATTTCTCATCGACAGAAACCTAAAGTGGAATTACTGGGTTGAATGGTAAGTCTATCTTTAACCTTTTAAGAAACTGTGAAACTGTTTCCCAAAGTGGCTGAAAGATTTTACATTCCTACCAGCAATATATAAGGGTTCCAATTTCTCCACATCCTTGTCAACACTTGGTATTGTCTGTCTTTTTTATTACAGTCATTCTAGTGGGCGTATAGTGGTATCTCACTGTGGTTTTGTATTTCCATACTGATGATGTCGAACATCTTTTTGTGTGCTTATGATCCGATAATATATATTTTTTGATGAAATGTCTTTTCAAATATTTTATCTATTTTTAAATTGGATTACTTAACTTTTTATTGTTGAGTTGTAAGAGTTCTTTATATTCTGGATGCAAGTCCTTTATCAGATAGATAATTTGCAAATATATTCTCTTGGTCTATATCCTCTCTTTTCACTTTCATAATGGTGTCTTTTGAAGAGCAAAAGTTTTTAATTTTTATGAAGTCAAACTTAAGATATTTTTTTCTTTTATGGATTGTGCTTTTGAGGTTGCTATCTATGAAAGATAGATAAGATCATGAAGATTTTCTCCTATGTTTTGTTTTCTTCTAGTTTTAGGTTTTACATTTAGGTCTTTGATTCATTTAGAATTAATTTCTGTTTGTAGTGAGAGATATGGATCCAAGTTCATTTTTTTGCATATAAATATAGAATTGTTCCAGTACCATTGGCTGAAAAGGTTGTCCTTTCCCCACAGAATTGCCTTGGCATCTTTGTTGAAAAATCAATTGGCCGTAATGTAAGGGTTTATTTCTGGACACTCAATTCTGTTTCATTCATCTACTTGTCTATCTTTATACCAACACCACACTGTCTTGATTATTTACCTTTTGTACAAATGGTTATAGTTTTATTTTTAAAAAAAATTTTTTTTGGTTATAGTTTTAAAATTGGGTAGTGTTAGTCCTCTAACTTTGTCTTCTTTTATAGAAAGAAGTAATTTTGACTGTTCTAGGTCTTTTGCATTTTCATATAAATTTTAGGATCAGTTTGTCAATTTCTGCAAAAGAGCCAGCCAGGATTTTAATAAATCGTTTAGTTTGAAAGAAAGGAAAACATATGTTAACTACCTAACATATTTAATTTGCAACTTAAAATCCTTCCTTAAAGGCTCTATTTCTGAGTCTAAGGGTTAGAAATATTATTTACGAGAGCAGATAAGTTTATTTCACAAAGCCTTGATTATTTAAAAGCACTTATGGATATGACACCAAAATGTGATTCTCTAATATTATAAAAAAAAAAGTTTCTTCTACTTCTTCATAGAAATGTTGAAGATGCTAATAGAACTTATGAGACTAACTTATTTATTTATTTTTTTAGGAAGATTAGCCCTGCCAATCTGCTGCCAATCCTCCTCTTTTTGCTGAGGAAGACTGGCCCTGAGCTAACATCTGTGCCCATCTTCTTCCACTTTATATGAGGGACGCCTGCCATAGCATGGCTTGCCAAGTGGTGCCATGTCCACACCTGGGATCCGAACCACTGAACCCTGGGCCACCGAAGTGGAATGTGCGAACTTAACTGCTGCGCCACCCGGCCGGCCCAAGACTAACTTACTGTGCTTTATACTATTCATTGTTCATTTCAAATTAAAAATGGGAGTGCAGGGAAAAGAAAGGGGTCCATATGCTTGAGTTCTTTTGGAGCTAAACCGTGATAGGTTTTACACAGGTTCTTTGATTGAATTTCTTTTCTTCAAACTAATTTTTTGGGGTGGGCCCCATGCCTGAGTGGTTAAGTTCGCGTGCTCCATTTCAGTGGCCCAGGGTTTTGTCAGTTCGGATCCTGGGTGTGGACATGGCACCACTCATCAAGCCATGATGAGGTGGCATCCCACATGCCACAACTAGAAGGACCCACAACTAAAAAATATATATAACTATGTACCAGGGGGCTTTAGGGAGAAAAAGGAAAAATAAAAAATCTTTAAAAAGAAAAAAAAAGATCTTATTTCTAAAAGCAAAAAAGGACAAAACATTTTAAAAAACAACTAATTTTTTGATTGCTGTTACAGTAACATCAATTATATCTTACATTAAATGATATAACTGTATCATATATTATATATACTATGTTATGTAGTATAAATACAGTCATATGCTGCATAACAATGTTTCAGTCAATGACAAACTGAATATATGACAGTGGTCTCATAACATTAGTACCATATAGCCCAGGCGTGTAGTAGGCTATATCATCTACATTTGTGTAAGTACACACTATGATATTCACACAACAATGAAATCACCTAATGACACATTTATCAAAATGTATCCCCATTGTTAAACAATGCATGATTGAATATATAACACATAATGTAATCATTATAAATTACAATAAATGTTTTAAATTAAAAGAAACATATAGAACTGTTGGTTGGAATGTAAATTGGTGCAGCCACCATGGAAAACAGTATAGAAGTTCCTCAAAAAATTAAAAATAGGATATATATACAATGGAATACCACTCAGCCATTAAAAAAGACAAAATCATCCCATTTGCAACAACATGGATGGACCTGGAAGGAATGATGTTAAGCAAAATAAACAAGATTGAGAAAGAAAAACACCATATGATTTCATTCGTGTGGAATATAAACAAACACACAGACAAAGAAAACAGTTCAGTGGTTACCAGGGGAAGGCGCGTGTGGGGTGGGGACAGGGGGAAGGGGAGCACTTATGTGGTGACAGACAAGAAATAATGTACAAGTGAAATTTCACAATGATGTAAACTATTATGAACTCAATAAAAAAAATTAAAAATAGAACTACCATATCCAGCAATTCTACTTCTGGCTATATATCCAAAAGAAATGAAATCACTATCTCAAAAAGATATCTGCACCTGCATGTTCACTGCAGCATTATTTACAACCACCTAAGTGTAAGTGCTCATCGATGGATAAATGGATAAAGAAAATGAGATATATAGATATACAGATATTGGGAAATTATTCAGCCATAAAAAAGGAAGGAAATCTGCCATTTGTGACAACATACATGGACATTGAGGGCGTTATACTAAGTGAAATAAGTCAGACAAAGACAAATATTGTATGATCTCAATTATATGTGGAAACTAAAATACTGAATTCATAGAAAGAGAACAGATTGGTGGCTGTCAGAGGTGGGGGGGAGGAAGGGGGTGAAGGAAATGGACGAAGGTGATCAAAAAGGTAAAAACTTCCAGTTTTTGAGATAAACAAGTTCAGGGGATATAATGGATAGCATGGTGACTATAATTAACAATACTATATTGTATATTTGAAAGTTGCTATGAGAATAGATCTTGTGCTGAATACATCTCAGCACAAGGAAAAAAATTTGGAACTATGTGAGGAGACGGATGTTAACTAAACACTGTGGTAATCATTTGGCAATATATACATGTATCAAGTCATTATGTTGTACACCTTGAACTAGTACAATGTTATATGCCAATTACATCTCAATAAAACTGGGAAAAAGTAAAAATTAGAAAAAATTTCTAAAGAAACAAAAAAATAGATTGGTCCCTTAAATAAAAAGCAAATGGAAATTATTAAATTTTGAATATATGAGGCAGTAGCATATTAACCTGAAGAGGTATCACCTGGTACTACAAAAATTTCTGAGTGCTATCACTCAAAACTACAGTATTATGCTGACTTTAAGTAAAAAAAGATAGAGGTATATTAATGATCTATGCTGTTAACTGCCAATGTTATTAACCAAAGTGAAGGTAATCACAAGAAACTAGTCTTCACACACTAATCTTTGCAGCTATATGTATCAGTAACAAGAACTCTATCAATCATAACTTTTGACTAGTGAAAGTTAGCCTGTGTTTCTTGGAATGGAGTAAGAATGGATGAATAAAATGATTTCTATTAGCCACTTCTCCTTTTAGCATCAGGGAAAACACAGTATTGGATCAGTCTTCCAATTTCAAATTTTAATTGTATAATTATAATGTATATAATTATGCTATAATTTACCCTCATAAAAATATAGCTTCACCATTTATGTATTATTTTCAAATCTCTTGAGTTCAAATTAAACTTTTTATGGGAATTTGTGACACTTTCAGAACACTTTCAGACACCCTCTCTTGAAAGAACTGACAGAAGATAGTGAAAAGAGGAAGGTACTGAACCATGGATATACTGCATTCCTATTTGTGTAAAGAAATGGGAGGAAGTGTATATACTCATAAATGTTCATGTATGCACAGGAGTCAGGGGTGGAACAATTTTTTCACTATGGGTATGTCTTACCCTTTCAAAAAAATTAAAATATTGAAAAAAAAACTAAAAGAATTATTGAAGCCAGGCACCTGGGGCTTCAATAATTTAATAAGCATTTAATTACTACTGTAAATATTCAATAAGAAAATGATTACCTTTCATCTTGCTCCTGACACAAACATAGATGAAAAGAAGTTAATCTTATTAATTTGCTGTTTTCCTGTTTAACCTGAAGGGTGACTCAAGGCTAACAAGGATTTATGAACTTGCTTTGCAGAAGAGAAAAAATGCCTTTAAGGAAGTTACCATCATCAGATAACCAGCCCCCAACTGCTATGGATCCCCAGAAGTCAGACTGCCCAAGGGCTTATCTGGAGTGAAAGAAACAGGGGTTACCCCTGTTTCTTTAAATGCCAAAACTCCTCCTGCCAAGCCCCTTAGCTCTATAAAACCTCCTGCTTTCTTCTCTTGTTAAAGTGGATTTGAGAGAACCTATCCTCCCACCCTTTCCTTTCAGCCAATTTGAATACACCTTTCTCCATCTCCAGGTACTGACGTCTCTGTGATTGGCTTACTGAGCATCAGACACACGAGTTTGAGATTAAGAGGTTCAGTATCAGTATGACCTTTAAGGCATCTGTCTTACACCCAGGATTAGCACTCTGCCACAGGGTTAAATCAGCTTGCTTAAAGAAAAGTCACATTTTCTTTTTTCTTTTTGGCTGAGGAAGATTTGCCCTGAGCTAACATCTGTTGCCAACATTCCTCTTTTCGTATGTGAGACGCTGCCACAGCATGGCCACTGAGAGACGAGTGGTGTAGGTCAGCACCTGGAACCGCTGGGGGCTGCCAAAGTAGAGCACACCGAACTTAACCACTAGGCCACTGAGTCTGGCCCAAAGTCACATTTTCTAATAGTGCTTTTACTTTTCTCTAAATAAGATGATTTAAGGTTAAGTTCTATAAAGTTGCATGAAGGAAAATGCTGGGGATAAGAAAAATGCCATTCCAAAATGCAAATTTGTTAACGTGGGTACAATAAACTGAGGTATTGAGACTTAGTTTCTTCCTTCCTTAATCAGTTAGTCAGTTGGTATAATGTAATGACTTCTATCCCTATACTGTAGTCCTGGACTACATATATATCATCAATATCCAGTCACTTTGTCAAATGCCTGGTGGGCAGGCGGAGAGAAGAGGGGGACAGAAATTTCAAATGACGGTAAAATTCATCCTTTTAGAACACAATTCAAAAGGCTTATTTTCCTCATCGTAAGCCAGGGGAAAAGGTATGGCTCATTATTGGATACCCAATAAATAAACATTCTAGTTGTAGGACAAGAAAATGTGCATACAAGCAGATCAGTTGTCCAGAGAAGCAACTTCTCAATTTGTTCTTTGAATCTTCAAGGGTTTTTTTCCTCCAGTTAATCACAGAATATTAATTATATTCAACACAAAACTACTGTTTCTTGAAATACCTTCTTCACCTGGCTTCTGTAAAGCTACGTTTTTCATTTCCTCCTACTCACTGGCTATTTCTCAGCCTCCAGCCATTCATTCAGTAACGTCTGTGTGACCTTGAGCAAGTAACTTAATCTGCCCAGACCTCGTATCTGTAGAAGACGATATAAGCACAGTCATCGCTCACTAAGTGCGAATTATTATACACTGCGCGTTATTAGCTACCACAAAGGCTCAGCTCCGCGCGTCGGCGCTGGCCGGGCTGCGGCCAACCCACACCCCGGAAGAGGGCAGGCAGCGTCGGGACTGCAGTGGGGAGGAATTGAGCAACATCTTCCACGCCTGGAGCCGGCCGGCGATCTGACTGGAGTTCCTTATGCCCTCGCGCTGTTCGCCCCACGCAGCGCGAGGATAACACAGGCAGGCAGCACGGTCCAGGTAAGCCGCCCGCCTTCTTCCAGGCAGCGGAGCCCGTGACACCGCCTCAGCCACTTCCGGCTTGGAGCACCTTCCCTTCCGCTCCCTAACTGCGCTTTCGATAAAACCCTTGCGTCTCATATTTCCCTCTGGCACTTCTATCTTCTTAATTTCCCCTCTTTGCGACTCTAGTTGAAAATAAAAATTTCTCTGGGAAGGATTGGAGATAGGCGTGGCTATGGGAAAAAGGAGCAGGTAAGCGGGTGGCGAAAGTGCGTGGCGGAAGCACCGTGCGCTTTCTCCTCGCCGGCCGGAAGTCGTGGGACTGAATGGGTCCCGGAGCCGGCGGCTGCGGCTCCTCTGTCTCCCCCTGACGCTTGGTGGCCGCTCGGCCGCCGGTCTCGTCTGCCGCTGGGTTACCAGGTTCATGTGGAGGCTCCCAAGCGCCCGCGCCGCGCTTCGTGGGGTCCGCACGGCGGTGGAGCGCCACAGTCGGGCCGAGGCGGCGACGGAGACCGGGACGGGCTCGATGGAGCGCGCTGTAGTGCGCTGTGTGCCCTCGGAGCCTAAGCTAAGCCTGTCGTTCGCGCTAGCCGACGGCAGCCACAAGAACATGCAGCGCGACCAGAGCGAGCCGCTGGGTCGGGTCCTCAGCCGAATCGCTACCAACGCCCTCAAAGGCCACGCTAAGGCGGCCGCCGCCAAGAAGAGCAGGAAGAACCGGCCAAACGCAAGCGGCGGCGTGGCCTGTGCGGGGCCTGGGTCCGAGCCGGCTGCAGCCTGCGAGCCGGTGGTGAAGCTGTACTACCGGGAGGAGGCAGTGGCTGAAGACGTGCTCAATGTGGACGCCTGGCAGGATGGCGCGGTGCTGCAGATTGGCGACGTCAAATACAAGGTGGAGCGCAACCCGCCCGCCTTCACCGAGCTGCAGTTGCCACGCTACATCATGGCCGGCTTCCCGGTGTGCCCCAAGCTCAGCCTGGAATTTGGAGATCCCGCCAGCTCCCTCTTCCGCTGGTACAAGGAAGCCAAACCCGGAGCGGCGGAGCCTGAGGGCGGGGGCCCCTCGTCATTGTCTCCCTCTTCTTCCTCTCCTGGTTGGACGGAGACGGGTGTGGACGAGCGCGTCTACACGCCGTCCAATGCCGACATCGGGCTACGGCTCAAGCTTCATTGCACCCCAGGCAATGGGCAGCGCTTTGGGCCGAGCCGAGAGTTGGAAAGTGTGTGTCTAGTGGAGGCCGGGCCCGGCACCTGCACCTTTGACCACCGGCATCTCTACACCAAGAAGGTGACGGACGACGCTCTCATCCGGACTGTCTCCTACAACATCCTGGCCGACACGTACGCCCAGACGGAGTTCTCCCGGACGGTCCTTTACCCGTACTGTGCCCCTTACGCTTTGGAGCTCGACTACCGCCAGAACCTCATCCAGAAGGAACTCACGGGCTACAATGCCGACCTCATCTGTTTGCAAGAGGTTGACCGCAACGTGTTTACAGACAGTTTGGTACCGGCCCTCGAGGCCTTTGGGCTGGAGGGCGTGTTTAGAATCAAGCAGCACGAGGGCCTGGCCACTTTCTACCGAAAGTCCAAGTTCAGCCTCCTTAGCCAGCATGACATTTCTTTCCATGAAGCCCTGGAGTCCGACCCGCTTCACAAAGAACTACTGGAGAAACTAGTTTTGTACCCATCGGCGCAGGAGAGGGTGCTCCAGAGATCATCTGTCCTTCAGGTAAAGTGGCTGCGCCAGTATCTTCACATACTTGTCCATTTCTAGGGCCCTGGAAGGAGAGGGGGGTGGGATGCTTGTTTTTCTTCCCTGAGGAAGATTCAGCCTGAGTTAACATCATGCCAGTCTTGCTCTATGTTTTAGTATGTGGCCCACCAGCACAGCATGGCTGCTTTCAGAGCGGTGTATGTCCCCGCCTGAGAACTGAACCAGGCCTCCAAAGCCCAGCGCGCTGAGTTTAACCACTAGGCCACCTAGGCTGGCCCTGTCTTCAGCACAAAGTTTATCTTTCATTCATTCTTTGAGAAAATACTTACTGAACATCTCCACTGTGGCAGGCATGCTGCAGGTTGCCTTGAACAAAGCAAACAGGAACTTTCATAGTGCTTACAATCTAGTGGGAGAGACATGCTAAATACAAGAATAACAGTAATAGCTAATTTTTTTTACTACTTGCCAAGCACTGTTTGACACATTTTAAAATATCTAAATTTAAGTGTCTGGCATGTTTTACTAGGTGCTATTATTTTAATTTTTGGCTCATAGTAATCCTGCTATCCCCGTTTTATAGATGTCATTCTTCCCATTTTATAAATGGGGAAATGGTCAAGTTTACTTTTCCAGGTTCACACAAGTGTGGAGCCAGGATTCTTACCCAGTTAGTTATATATTCCATCATCACTGGACAGGGTGTTAAATGCTACTTAGCTTAAGCTATTTTAAGCTATCTTAGTTTTTAAAAACATGTTCATTGTGTGCTTGTCCAGAGTTTTTAGGTAATTGGTCTTGTTTATAGTAAGAAGAGCAGCTACCACTTTTTTGAGCACCTGCTGTGTTTCATACACTTCTGTGTAAGCTCATTTAATTGAATCCACACAGCAGTCCCCCTTGAGGTGGGTGATATTGTCTCTTTTTACCAATGAGGAAGCTGATTTAGAAAAAAAAGTCTCTCTCTCCGGGTCCCACTGCTGTAAATGGTAGAGTGAAAATTCCAGCCGCGACCTGCCTCAATCCGAAGCCTGTGCTTGCTTACCCACGTGAAAATACTGTCTCTGACGTTAGTGTTGTCATCTAGAATGTGTTCTTTTCATTTTTCTGTATATGTTGGGTTGTTATTAAAACATGTTCAGGGGGCTGGCCCCGTGGCCGAGTGGTTAAGTTTGTGCTCCACTTTGGCGGCCCAGGGTTTTGCCTGTTCCGATCCTGGGTGAGGACCTGGCACCGCTCGTCAAGCCATGCTGAAGTGGTGTCCCACATCGCGGAACTAGAAGGACTTGTAACTAGCATATACAACTATGTACTGGGGGGCTTTGGGAAGAAGAAGAAAAAAAAAAGAGATTGGCAATAGATGTTAGCTCAGGGCCAATCTTTAAAAAACAAAAACAAAACTGTTAACACTAAGTCCTATTCATGTATATTCTAAAACTTAGAACAAAGGTAAATTTCATAATTGCAATCCTAGTTTATCAGTAAGGGAAGGAAAAAAGCATTCAGGAGACTGGCAGATAGCAACTGAACTCATGGCACTTTCTGTTTATTTTAGGTTTCAGTTCTTCAGTCGAGACAGGACTCTTCTAAAAAGATATGTGTTGCTAATACCCATCTCTACTGGCATCCCAAAGGTAGGTTTTATTGGTTTTCACAAGTGACTTAAACATAACAACTTAAAGTCAGTAAAGCTGTTTTACACTAACGTGTCTCTTTTTTCTTTCAGTCGTAATTGACATAGAGCACTGTACAAGCTTAAGGTTGACAGCATAATGACTTGACTTACAGATATTGGGAAATGATTACCACGGAAAGTTTAGTTAACATCCATTACCTCAAACAGATACCAAAACAAAAAGAAGTTTTTTCCTTGTGATGAGAACTTGTAGATTTACTTTCTTAACAACTTTCCAATATACCATACAGCAGTGTTAGCTATAGTCATCATGTTGTGCATTACACCCCAATATTTATTTATAACTGGAAGTTTTACCTTTTGACCACCTTCCTCCAATTCCCCCTCACACGCACAAATATATGTCTTGAATGTCACCTGGATACTATAGTTTGTGAGTTTATTTTTTTACTTAAAAGCAACTTTAAGAAGTACTTACATTAATGTTGGTTCTTTTCATAGGTGGGTACATTCGTCTCATTCAAATGGCAGTAGCCTTGGCTCACATTAGACATGTCTCATGTGATCTGTATCCTGGCATACCAGTTATATTTTGTGGGGACTTTAATAGTACCCCATCAACGGGAATGTATCATTTTGTCATCAATGGCAGCATTCCAGAGGATCATGAAGACTGGGCTTCCAATGGGGAAGAAGAACGATGCAACATGTCTCTTGCCCATTTCTTCAAACTGAAAAGTGCTTGTGGTGAACCTGCTTACACGAATTATGTTGGTGGCTTTCACGGATGTCTGGATTACATTTTCATTGACTTAAATGCTTTAGAGGTTGAACAGGTGATTCCCTTACCTAGTCACGAAGAAGTTACCACCCACCAGGCCTTACCCAGTGTTTCCCATCCCTCAGATCACATAGCACTTGTATGTGATTTAAAATGGAAGTAGATTTGTGTTTAATGGAATTTGTCAGTTTTAGTAGGAAACTTCATATGAATCAAAGCTTCTGTGTAACCTTCAAAGAGGAAAACAAGAGACTAAGGTAAAGTGATCCTAACCTACTAGTTATGTTCCAGTGTCTTCATTACATGACTGTTTATAATGTTTGCATAATAGAGTTCTCTACCCTTTTTTTCCCCTACACTTGGAGGAAAAACAAATATATTTATGACTGGCAGGAAGAACGTTGAATTATTGTGTATGTTTTATAAGTACTTTTTTTTTTAGCTAGTAATTAAGAATTTTGTAAAAAACAATTTGAATGATGCTGTAGTTTTTCTATCATAACACACATTTCAAATTGAATCATGTTTATATAATTAGGGGAAAATGCATACACGTTAAGGTGAGAGGCTGAAGTTCCGACACATGGAAGGCTGACATTAGGGTCTACTTCTACCTCAATTTGCTTAGTAATTTAATAGAACTTTTGGAGCTTTAACAGAAGTTTAAAATATACCATCATCCATTGTTATTGCTTCTCATTTTTCATTTTTCAATTAACATAAGGTATTTTCATTCATTTATTTTTAGGATTTTAGTTTTTCATGATGTTACAAATGGACATATTTGTATTGTCATTCTTAATTGCAGCTCATTTTAACTTTTAGGATGTAAGCACAATTTCGTATTCAAAGTGAATAGCAACATAGTCAACTTGATCCCATTGTCTTTAATTACTCTTGCCCATGAAAAATGTTCATAAATCAACAGGGTATTTGACCATATGATAGAGAATAAAGCACAATGTGTTACTTTATGAGAAACTGCGTACTGATACGGGCTTGAAATTTTGGATTTACCATTGAGCATTTCTATGCTAGCAATATTTTCAAAATTGTTGGTTTTTATAAATAGGAGAAAGAGGAGTAGTGGAGCTTTTGACATAAACTATTCTTTTTGTAGACTTGAGCGTTATAGTTTGAGTTACAGGAAAACGTTGTATATATAATTTATATACTGTAAAAATTTAAATATGAAGCCAAACTTTTTAAAATTAGAAGTTAAAGAGTTACTGATTAGTGTCCTACCCAGCAAGTTTTTCTGATTCACTTGTCACCATACCTTATTTGCAATGCTTTAGCTGTTGCTTTTTTGATGTTCAGGATAGCCATAATGTTATGTCATACTTCTGCATTTCATTTAATTTCTAGCTTAGATATTAAAAGCCTACCCACTTCAAGAAGAATTCTGATTTTCCAGTCATAAGAGCCTTTGTTCCACTTCTTTAATCTCTAAACCCAATGCTGTAAGATCTTTTCTCGTTTGATAAAGTAGCCTTTACTTTCATATTCTGCTCACTATCCAATGTATTTTTAACTCTTAGTTTAGTAAGTTTGAGACTGAGAAGCTTTTACCTGTACTTCAGATTGAACCTTGAAGTACTTAAGAGTACTTGACGGGAAAAATTAAGGTGACGCTTTCTTGGGATCTTGTTTAGAAAAGGCTATAAATGAAAAATTGATGCTACCGAATTGTGCCTTCCTAAATAACATTTTTTAAAGTTTTTTTTTTGTTTGTTTGTTTTTTGGTGAGGAAGATTGGCCCTGAACTAACATCTGTTGTCAATCTTCTTCTTTTTGCTTGAGGAAGATTGTCACTGAGCTACCATCTGTGCCACCCTTCCTCTGTTTTGTACGTGGAACACCACCATAGCATGGCTTGATGAGTAGTGCATAGGTCCATGCTCAAGATCTGAACCTGTGAACCCCAGGCCACCAAAGCAGAGTGTGCAGACTTAAGCGCTACACCACCAGGCCAGCTCCTTTAAAGTGTTTTAACATCAGTTACAAATGCATAAATAATATATTAAAGCCAGAATCTCATTCTTTTGAAAAATATGTATTTTTTTCTTCCTTTTTAAAATTTGGTTTTGGTCTGCTTTCAAAAAAAATGTTGACAGGACTCTTGAGAGAAAACAAAAAGTTCCTAAGCAAAAAGTTGAGAAACATCTTGAAAGAAAAACTTGTAACATGACATACTCACTCATGAGAAAAACATACAGGTCCTATATTTGCTGACTAAACTGATCAGATTTTATAGAGGCATTTCAGAATATTAGAAATAGAATATTATTGTGAAGTGCCATATACTCTGGTAAATCTCCATTGCAGTCATGTACCGCTTAATGAGTTTTGGTCAACAATGGACCACATATAGGACTGGTCCCACAAGGTTAGTACCATACAGCCTAGGTGTACAGTAGGCTATACCGTCTAGGTTTGTGTAAGTATATTCCGTGATGTTCACACAATGACAAAATCACCCAACAAAGCATTTCTCAGAACATCCCTGTCATTAAGCGACACATGACTGTATACAAACATGTCAGTATGATTGGAGTCCAAAGGTAGGGGACACTAAGAAAATTGTATAAATAGCATACCAAAATTTCCTTGTTTCCATGAGTCAGAATAAGTGTTATTGAGAAATGTTTAAATGTTTAAAGCCATCTGTGTAGTTGAATTTTTCTATTACATTTGGATTTTTTAGTACATTTAATTTTAATAAAACATGGAAAGTTTAGCAGCTCTTTCTATGGTGAATGACATTTTATGATGTCACAAGTTCTTACTGTAGAAATTAACATTCCAAAATTTTATATCATTGATTATAAACAACTAAGAATGTTATAGAACATACATTATCCTATTAAATAAACTCCTTGCACAGTTGCCACTATAGACATATACATGGGTAGTACATAATTCATTAGCAAACAAATCATTTCTGGCTATAATGTGATGTTCTTTAAAATTCTGAATACTACAATCAGTTGTTTCAAATTTATAGGAATTTCATTGGGTGATGACTTTTTCTGTGAGAACTAAGGCCTGATATCACTAGAAAGCGGTGGTTTCAGTCCCGAGGTCGATCTTCGAGGAACATAATACAAGGGGAGCGGGTCCAGAGAAGACTGCTGTGGGAAGGTCTCCCTGGCGGAAACTGACACCGTTAGATCTCTTACTCTCCGGCTATAAAATACAGGCAGAGATTCTCTGCAAACTAATTTGACTGAGACAAAACCAAAACCCATATACATAATGAAAGGTAAAAGTTTGCACTCTTAGTTTATCACACGACCCACATGACAACTCAATAGAGGAAATCTTTCCTCTAAAAAATTATAGCAATGCTAATTTTCTAAACATAATTCAAAAACATTTCAATGTTTTGAAAATTTTATTATTTTGCTCAATATAGTACTAGAAGGAAACATCTAGATTTTATTTGGGGAGAGGAAAATTTTAAGAACTTTAATTGATTTGGGTAATCAAATTCTGTGGTCCCACTTTATGAGAAGGGACATGCTTTAACTTATTGAAGATTTTGGAGCTGTATTAATTTGGGTGACTTTTTTAGCGCTAACTTCAGAGTAACTGTACTACACTCTGAAATGAGAATACCAAAGCATTTTTTAAATTGAAGTGAAATTCACATACGGTTAACCATTTTAAAGTGTATGATTCTCTTGCGTTTAGTCATTCACAATGCTGTGCAACTATCATCTCTAACTAGTTCCGAAGCATTTTCATCACCCCAGAAGGAAACCACATACTCATTAAGCAGCCACCCCCCATTCCCTCCTCCCCTCCAGCCCCTGGCGACTACTCATCTGCTTTCCGCCTCACTGGATTTCCCTATTCTGAATATTTCATATAAATGGAATCATATAATATATGACCTTTTATGTGTGGCTTCTTTCACTTAGCACAATGTTTTTAAGGCTCATGCATGTCGTATGTATCAAGACTTCATTCCTTTGTATGGCTGAATAATGTTCCATTGTATGGTTATACCACATTTTGTTGATCCAATTGGGTATTTGGGTTGTTTGCACCTTTTGGCTATTGTGAATGCTGCTGCTGTGAACATTCATGTACAAGTTTTTGTTTGAACACCTGTTCTCAATTCTTTTGGTTGTATACCTAGGGGTGGATTCTTGGGCCATATGGCAATTCTGTTTACCTTTTTTGAGAAACTGCCAAAATGTTTTCCACAGCAGCTGCACCATTTTACATTCCACCAGCAATGTATGAGAGAGTTCAAGTTTCTCTACATCCTCACCAACTTATTTTTTTTATTATTATTATTATAGTCATCCAAGTGGGTGTGAAGTGGTATCTCTACCGAAGTGTTTTTATTTTTGTTTTTGTTTTAGGAAGATTAGCCCTGAGCTAACGTCTGCTGCCGATACTCTTCTTTGTGCTGAGAAAGGCTGGCCCTGAGCTAACATCTGTGCCCATCTTCATCTACTTTATATACGGGACGGCTGCCACAGGAGCGGTGCCATGTCTACACCCGGGATCCAAACCAGCGAACCCCGGGCCGCCAAAGCGGAATGTGTGCACTTAACCACTGCGCCACCGGGCCAGCCCCTACCAATGCATTTTTAACTTGCTTAGTCTAGTTATGTTGCAGTCATGAACTACATTATTCACAATGGATTACCCAATCTCCTTTATTTTTTTCTAGAGAGCTCATCTTCAGCAATTCCTTCTTATTTTTACAAGCTTGTGTCAAGTTGGAAAGGTCAGTCTCATTGCTTCTTTTGAAGAGATTTGGGAAGAAAAACATTGCAAAAAGTACCAAAGCCCTGGATTGTAAATAAATTGGACAGAATAAGAAGCCTATGAAAATAGTCACTTTAAAAATGTGCATCTAGGGGCTGGCCTGGTGGCGCAGTGGTTAAGTGCGCACGTTCTGTTTCGGTGGCCTGGAGTTCGCTGGTTCGCATCCCAGGTGCGGACATGGCCCGATTAGCAAGCCATGCTGTGGTAGGTGTCCCACATATTGAGGAAGATGGGCATGGATGTTAGCTCAGGGCCAGTCTTCCTTAGCAAAAAGAGGAAGATTGGCAGCAGATGTTAGCTCAGGGCTAATCTTCCTCAAAAAAATAAAAAATAAATTTTTAAAAAATGTACGTCTACTTTAGTGATTTGTTTCAGAGATTGAACTTGCTTATTAACGTTGGCTTTTTAAATGGCTTAGCCATGGCTCCACTATTACCTACCACTTTTTAAATTCCAGTTTAGGTGCAGAGTAGCAGACAGCAAGAATGCCTAAATACTCCTTCCTGAGAAACTGAGATAGCTGTGGCTGAAGATGATTTACCAAGTTATAATGCATAATTGTAAAAAAAAAAAAAGGACTCAACTCTGCTTATTAAAAATGTTAGGTTTTGGAAAGAAAACCTTAAAATCAAGATTAGCTTTAAAAATACTTTAAAAAACCATTGTTAATATAATATTAAAAATTATAATATGGAAAAAAGTATTTTCAAGTTGGCCATCTTCACAGTGTATTGAATCATATTGAAGCCAGTTGCTATGATTAACATTTTATATATGTGATAAAGTAACTTTTAAGTTGTAGACCTTAAAAATACTCAATCTTAGTTCAGTTAGCTGATGCCACCCTCAATATAAATAGGAGCTACCAGCTGGATTCATTCTGCTATGAAGACAAACTCTACGTTGTCAAAATCCCTGTCCATATTGTCAGTGTTAGGTTTTTACAATTTTCAATTTCTTTGAGAAACTTCACTAAAAACAGACTGAATCATTCATCTCCATCTTCTGTCCATTTTGTGTTGTCAAAGGGTTTATATAATGCCAGCAATTTTGCCCAGTAAATCACTTTGATGATGTACTAGTGTTGCTAATGTACTTCTCCTTACTGTATTGAAGTATTCCGAGTTTGCATTTTTGCTGGTTTCATTTGTATTCTTTCTATAATTGAAAATGGTTCACTAGGGAATTGAATAGGCTTTATTTAGTTGGATTTTTTTAATATTGGATGAACAATATACACTTTGTAAAAAGAAATTTATTGCATATAATCTTTATTTCCCCTGTGGAATAGTTTGGAGAAATGGTGTATCCAGGGATAAAAATAATTTAGAAATAAAACTGGCCTTCCTCAGAGAAGCTAGGTTAAGTATAGTGTTTTGGGTATCTTAAACCAAAGAATATTTCTGCTGAAGCTGCAGAATTTTTAAGTATTGTAAATAATGGAATTACATTACCCCTTTTTTGTCCTTTTATTACATACCTAAAGAAATCTGGTTTTTGCATTCTGGTTTTTGACCTTTTTCTTCATCCTAAATGAAAGAATCCCATGATACTTTGGTTCTTCAATCCAAAATAGATCTTTATTCTCTTTAAGGGCTCTTTGTGCATGTCA